AGAGAGAGAGAGAGAGAGAGAGAGAGAGAGAGAGAGAGAGAGAGAGGTTGTGATTCTTTACTTACGTCGACCTTTGCAGCGAGGAGTGGAAAGACGGACTTGGATGGCATCTCTTTCGGGATAAACCTGTAGAACTCATCCCTGCTCTTGTACCACTTGACCGAATACAATGGCATTGAGCGCAGATCGTAATCGCAAGTCATCTTGACTGTCGAGTTTTCGGCCACGGCAATCGGTATTTTTATCGTCACGTCGATTTCGCCAAGCGTGCCTAATGTCCAGACATAAATTACATTTCTTTAATAACATCCTGTAAGCCAACTGACACTCACTACTACAAGCCTAAACTTATTTTGACTCGATAAAACATTGTGTGCAACAAACAATGTCCCATTATAGCGAATAATTTAAAATTAATTCTATATTAAGTTATTTATTGGCTCGGTAAAAAGCCGGGCACTTTTGCGCCTCGGCCGTTAATTGGATTGTAACGAGGGGATGCAGAGTGCGCCTGTGAATAATACCGGGAGAATCTCGAACGTACGCTCGAGAAGGATGGAAGCTCGTAGTGGCGTATGTCGGTTAAGGGCCAATGTCGCCGGGCGCGACTTCCTCACCCGGAAAACTCTCCTGGGCGTGATTGCCGAGCTTCCCCGACCGACGACATTCGGCACGTCGATTTAGCCTCGTTGGCGACGTATTGGGCATTAAATTTATTTGCCGCTTTTTGCGCCTCGCTTTATAAGAAGCGAACTGATTGGAAATTTCTTGCCGCCATTTATTTTCTTTTATTTTCACCTTCTGTCTTTTCTTTTCCTTACACAAAATTGCAATTCTCACAAATTTAAATGGCTATTATAACATTAGGCGGCTCGGGCCGTGCGGCGCAATATTAACGATATCCCTGCACTGATTAATATGAAATTTAAAATTATTAGTGGAAATACGAGACAAATAACAAAGCAAAGAGAGAAAAAAAAATAAATAAATAAATAAAGTAGAAAGAAAAATAATGTTCGTCTCGTATTCAATAGGTGAAAAGGTAGACGAGATGTAATTGAAAATTCATGTACAGTGCGCTGAAAGCGAACATTACTATTCAGAATGTAAAAATGTCTGATTTGGTATTTAAATTTTTTTGTTCTTCGTCCGATAAAGTAAATTCTCTCATACGAATTGTACGGAGTTTTCAAGGTATTCGCCAACATTTTACAGGAGATGCTTAAAAAACTTTGCTAAATAAAACAAGTTTTTTTTGTTTTTTTTTTTTTTTTCGTTTTTTTTTCATCCACAAACACAAACACACAAACGTAACGCACTCACACACCAGATGAAGGAAATAAATAGGCCAATATAAACAATTTAGTCGTGCAAATTTTCATAGGAGTGACGCGAGCGCGTGTATTATTATGCGGCCGAGACAAACGTACAAACAAAATAGTGCAATATAACGCGCGGAGTAGCGGGGATTCGAGGAAAAATTCATTTAAATTTCTATAAACTTTCACGACAACATTTTCCTTCTGTAAATTTACTATGCATACTTCACATACCGAGGCTAAAGCGAATCGGATAACACATTATTGTAAAGCGCCCCCTTTCTTTGACAAATGCCCCTCCGAGTGTCATTCGCGTGTTTACAGTTCTCCACTCGTACCACTACCACCATCAGCCCTCTCCTCCCATCCAACCCCCTGCCAATCCGGCCACTCCTTTTCGACCATTCGCTCATTGTAATTCTCTCTCTCTCTCTCTCTCTCTCTCTCATCCACACACGCGCGCACGCACACGCGCGCACGCACACACACGCACACACACACACACACACAAACACAAACACACACAGAGTTTGGGTTTTCCAGAGAGAGACCCTCGGAGCGTCGAGGACGATCGGCGCCCGAAGCCGTTACCATAGTAGCAGTTTGGCGGAAATCGCGAGTCCTTAATTAATACGACACCTCGTTCGCTGATAATTGCGGACACGGGGCGCAGAGACTTTCGACTCATCCGTCATGGCCTCCCTTTCCTTGGAACGGCGGAACTTGTCGCTCGTCAGTCTCTTGGCTGAATTTTCGACGCCTGGAATTGCGCCGCGGAAATGGGAGAAACACGAAATGGCACTCGAGTCCTTCAGCCGTATAATTAGTCTTTTCCTTCGAGCGTCTCCGTCCGCTCGGCCTCGGCACAATTGCAAAGTGTTTTGCATCCCTCCCGGCAAAGTGCCACATTAGATTAATTAAACGCGCCGCATCACCGGAAGAGCATTTCGTCACTTTTATACCGCCGACGGCCGAGCGAAAAACGTTTTTTTTTTCACTCTCGCCGATACAATAATAACGGACAAGTTCTTGATGAATTCGGCCTCCCTACCGCTGCCCTATCCATCCCTTTCTTTCTATAAATTTCTTTAACCGATGCGAGCTGAATCGTAGATCGTGAATTTAATTCATTTAATGCTGTGAGCGCGTGCGAAAATTGATGGACAAACATCAACGCTCGCAAAAGCTTGTTAAACACCTGATTGTAAAAATAAATGGCAGGAGGGGCGACGAGGAAGGCCAAGCTATTTCAAGATTTTGCATTTTTCTTGCTTCGCGCGCGACTACTGGCACTCGACAGGAAAAAAAATAAATAACGGATAAGAAAAAGGACAAATATATTGGGATAATTTTAGAACTCGCTCGTGTGGAATGTAGTTAAATTGGTAAATTAAACAATTACAGGATCGATAGGTAAGAGATATTTCGAATTTTACGAACCAATTGTGGATTTCAAATGGCGTGTTGTGGCGTCGCGTTAACATAACAAAAAAAAAAAAAAAAACAAAAACAAAAACAAAAAAATTAAAAAAAAACAACAAAACAACAACAAAAAAAAACAACATAACAAAAGAAAAACCAAACAAGATAACAAAACAAAATACAGGAGTAAAAAAAAATTTGAGCGCGTACTCCTCTAGCGGGTTCGCCTCATTCGGCCTCTCCTCTCCTCACCCACTTTCTTCTTATCATTATTCCAATTTTATGCTTAAAGTACAACTTTACTTTCCGTTACGCATCGATCCCGGGGATTCTAACGAAATAAGAATGAGCACAGCATGTACAACTAGCCCCGTGCATTTATAAAATATCGTATTACCATATAAAATTTAAAGCCCTAAGAATTAAAAGGAAAATTGTACATTTAGCACTATTGATAATTAAGAAAAATAAAGAACGATCCTCGCTCATTTTCTTGCGCGGAAAAGTGTTTACTTAAACCTGCAATTACACTCGGTTGCCGGACTTAAATAAATAAATAATGAATAATAGTTTCTCAGGATTAAAGCCGCGCTAAATATAAATTCTTCGTTACCGCGGGTATTCGCAAAAAGCCTGTAGTGGTACGTGATAATGGGAGCGGAGGGACGTTAAGACTTAATGTAGAATTTTTTCGGAATAGATTGGACGGCCGACGCCGTACGAGACTTGGCACGATGTACTTATTTTTTCATCGCGCGCATCCGCTCGGGCTAAAGGCGCTTTTCCTTATCCGCGGCGACAGGAGCGCGAGCGGCGACATCATCCGCGTAATCTGAGTGGGAAGGGTCGCTGCGATCTCGTTTTTACGGGAGACGAGGCGGCGACGCGCGCTTTAACTGCGAAATCGTCCTCTCCCCTTCCCATCCATGCCATCGCACTTTTTACCCCCGCGCGTCTAACGATCGGCCGCTGATTATTCCGTGGGGTCAAGAGTACGCGGTAATGAAGGCAATTACGGCCGAGGCAGCTCGGAAAGGAGTAAAAATAGGGAGGAAAGAGACGGGATAATGAAGGAAGAGGAGAAGGTGGAAGGTGGAAGGTGGAAGGTGGAAGGTGGAAGGTGGAAGGTGGCAGTGGCAGTGGTAGCAGTCACGGCCATGGCGATGATGGCGTTGGTGGTGGCGATAGTCGTAAGGTAGGCGGCAGAGATAACGGAGCCGCGGATTATCCACGGCGGTTAAAAAATCGAGTATAAAAAGCCATTGACGAGGAACGACAGTTTTTTTTTTTTAAATCCGAAGCCCATACGCTTTAAGGTGCTCTTCGATTTCATGGTCGCGCAGCATTGAAAGGAAAAGAGGAATAAGAGGGCCGTTCGTTGGTGGCTGATTGTAGGAGGTTGTGGTAGGTGGGTGGGTGGGGTGGGTGCGTGTATGTGTATGTGCGTGAAGAGGGAGGAGGAAGAAGGAGGAAATGGGAAAACGACAGACATTTCGTAGGTGAAGTCGCCGAAGGTTCGACGAAGGCGGTAGCGAGAGAAACGTCGGCGGGCATTTTATCCGCATTTTTCCACAAAGATAGCCGATACACCGGAGCCGAGCACACGGACGTGGGGCACTGTAGTAGTTGCGCCCACTAGTGCATCACGATGCCTGCGACTATCGGGCGTCGAGGCGCTCCTGTTTATACTCTTATAGGGGGAATTATGCGATAAAAGCGAGGCGTCTCCACTGTATACTCAAGCTTCATAAAGCTGGCTGAACGCATTTCATAGCCCTGACCGTCCGTCCGACTCTCGTTCATCTCTCTTCTCTTCAAACATTATGTTTCACCGTATGCGTCGTTTAATTTTAATTTTTTCGCTAAACAAACAATTACCAATCGATCAACAATAGTTGTCCAGCGCTTGGGAGCGCTTTGTTTTATCGAAAACGTATAAATGTTATTCATCTATTTGATAATAGCCATCTCTTACTGCTGAATTGATATAGGTATGTCTGTCGCGCTTCACTTTGTGTCCAATTAACGTGTACTCACTTGCTCGCTCGCTCCATCGCTCGATCGCTCGATCGCTCGCTCGTATTATTATGACAATTTCTTTTCATTCTCTTTTATTAAAAGAAGTATATCGGCGCACCGAATGGGGCTCAATTTTCTTCGTTATTTTCTTTGAGATGAGAAAAGGCATTGATTGGTCAAGATGATATATGTTTAATGTATTTTTAAGTAATTTTTATTTCCAGCGCCGTGTAGGACATTTATTTTTCCCTCTAGGTAGTATTAAATATTGTGCCATCAATTTGAATGCAAAAGTCAAATAAAAGTCGTAAGAATGTCTTTAATGAAAAATTGCAACTTCGTATTAATAATTTTTTCGTTATGTGTCGTAATGAAAATCATTTCGTTTGATCAGTGCCGTTGCGCCTTGGAATGAAATTTTAATCGAATGGAAAAATTTTTTTGTTACATTTTTCATATAAAATCGATAAATCACCGAAATGTAAAATTGACGGAAACATTACCAATATTG